GCATCACTTGCTTTGTGTATTATTATTATTATTACTATTATTATTATTGTTGTTACTATTTTATTTCAATTATTTCTTTATCTTTATCTTAACCCACGAGTTTTTTCTCACTTCTACTCTTCTCTCCCCCATCCCACCGGGGCGGGGAGGAGTGAGCGAGCGGCTGGGTGGTGCTCAGTTGCTGACTGAGGTTAAACCACGACACCATGTTGTTTCATGGCCAACCCCGCCTGCCCCGGGGAGGAAACTTACTGGGGTGCTGCTGGCCTTCCCGGTCAAGATACCTCTCGCCTTCTTTTTGGTCATGTTGAAGTTTTTCAGGTAGGCATTGTAGATGTGCTTGGAGAAAGCTTTCAGGTCGGCCACCTGCGGGTTCTGGCAGCTGATCTCACTCGCCGTCAGCCCTGCCACCAGCTTCCTCTTCTCTGCCTCCGGCATGCGGCCGAAGCGGATTGCTGTCAGGGAGGCAAAACCGTCGGGTCAGGACACTGGGGGTGACCCCAGGAGACGCGTCCAGGGAGGCAGCAGTCTGCTCTGCCGCCGCAGAGGTCTGCTGGTGAACACCTGCAGCTACGCAACACGATGCTCCTCCAGGGCTGCAGCTCCTCTGGCATCAACACCTTCGTGAACCAGCCATTACTGCTACCCTTGCCAACACAACCTCACACTAAGCTCCCGTTCCCACTCCTCTGGGCTCTCGCACAAACCCTACTTCCCACATAAACACCTTTGCTTGGCCAGGAACAAGATGGTTACACCTGAAGTTTAAAAATCTCAGCACAGAAGAGCAATCTGTGTGTCCGGTTCCCTCCGGCGTCAACCCATAAGGGACAGCCACGTGCCAACAGCCAGCCTGCATGGTGGGAATGAACCTTCTCGTACAGAAGAAGGGGATGAAGAGTCAAAGGCTCAAAGCATTGGGTTTGAAAGACGATCCCCCAGCAAGAACAGAGCCACGGGATAAAGCAAGCTGCATGCAGCCTCCCCGTGCGAACCCTTCACAGAAGGGCAGATGGCCCCGTGGCACCCAGCCGGCCAGGCCTGTGGAACAGCGGTGACACTCACCGTTATGTGACATGCCCAGCGAGAGGCATTTCTGGAAGCGGCAGTACTGGCACTTGTTCCGGTTCTTCTTCTGAATCTTGCAGCTCCGCTCGCACTTCTCATACTCCAGCTTCATGCGGATTGTCCGGCGGAAGAAACCCTGCAGGCAGGTGGCACAGAGGGGGACGTGGAGCAGGGGGACAAGGGAACAGCAGTGTTAGCACCTGTGGTTTGGGACCAGGCTGGTTTTTTATCCCCAGGAGCCTCATGGAGGTTCAGCCGGGTGGGGAGGAGGAGCCCTGGGTCTCTTTGACACAAGCAGTCTCTCTATCTCAAGGAGAGGTCGTTCGGTGGGAGAAGGGGGCTGCAGAGGAGGAACCATGGAGGGCAGCCCACGGGCCGGTGCTGGATACCGCGTGTGTGATACTGCAGGCAGCCGGCAGGGAGGGATGGAGGAACAAGCTGCAGGCCGGCTCCAGCCTGCAGGAATGTCTGGCAGGTCCTGGGCCACTAACGCAGCCCCGCTGGCATCTGCTGTGGGGGAAAGAATTTCAGAGGCCCATCCAAGCTGCGGCCAGTGATCCCAGGGGGATAAACACACAGCTCTCTGCTGATCTGCAGCACAGAAAGCATCTTTAAAAGCAAAGCCAGGGTCCCCGTGGGGACAGATGGATTTGCCTTACAAGATAAAGCATGATGGGGCAAGATTCGGGCCATACGGATCTCAGCTGCCTCCCCCAGGACAGTATTTGTGTGCCCGCCTCTACACTTCACACTCTCTGGACAGGTTGCAAATGATTTTTTTACAATCACTCAATCCTGCATCCCTGCTTTGCTGCAAACCTGCCTGTTTGAAGAGATGGCGTGCTCCCTGGGGTCTAATCTCCGCTTGGCATTGCTGAAGCCAGCCCTCCCCAGGGCGTACGTACCTTGCAGCCCTCACAGGCGTGCACACCGTAGTGAAACCCCGAGGCTTTGTCTCCACAGACCCTGCACTCCACGTTCAGCGCTCCCAAGGCCGCCTCCTCGCAGCCCATCTGCAGTTGGTCCGACAGGGAGGGAGAGGAGCTCTGCGAAAGGTCTGCAAACGCACAAAGGGAAATGTCCTTTCGTGTAGTAGCCACGAGCCCAGCGTCGCATCTAACTCCTCCAGCCATGGGGCCGACAAGGGATTTCCAGCACTGTCCCAGCCTGCCGCTGGCATTGCATCTGAGCAGTTAACCTCTGAGATCAGGCACTGGCTGCAGGCAGATGCCATGCACAGAGCCAAGAGTGCCCCCAGTGTGCCCAGCAGCCGAGAGACTCCACATCAACACTGATTTCTTCCCTCTGGCATTCACGTCTAGGCAATGAAACCCAACCAGCAAATTTTATAATCCCCAGTTGGCAGGAGGCTGGCACAGGGCTGGAACGCCCGGGGCTCCGGAGGAATCTTTTCAGCAGCAACAGACCTTCTCCTCCAGGCTCCTACAATCAGTTTGCACTGAGGACTTGGAGAAGCGGTCGGGGAAGTGTTCTCAGGCACCCTGAGAGTCCTCCCCATCTGGGGCACAAAGTTACCTGCCTGTCCTTTTAATTTCCATCTCCCAAACCGCTACCAACAGCTGTGCAGCGACCGCAGAGAAAGAAATAAGCCTCTCCATAACTTAGCTCTTGATGTATTATTTCACAAAGGGAAGAGATTAAAACAAGCCAAACTCCATTCCTCTGCCCTTTGCAGCTGAGCACGCTGCCCGGAGGACGTGGATGCCTGGATGCTCCAGGGACAGACGAGCTCCCGCAGCTCCACTCACCTGTGTAGCTGCTTGAAGGCAGCGAGCTGTCTGGTCCTCCACTTGGGTCCGAGGGTCCGCTTGCCACCATCACTGCCTCTTCCTCTTCCTCCTCCTCTTCCCTGACCTCAGGTATTTCCTCCTGTAGTTGTTCCATAATTGATCACCCCTCAGTGCCAAGACTGCAATCCCTGTCATAGCTCTGGCATCATCCGCGTCTATCCGAGATGGACCCTACCAGGCTGTTCCTGCTAGCCTGTGGGACAGAGGGAGAAACGCGCGGTGTCAGCTCTGAACGCAGAGCATCTCAGCAGCAGCGCGGTGTGTAACCGTGCTAGTCCTGCTCTGCTTCCTCTCCTCATCCAGGGAGACAACCAGAACCCGGCGCCTTTTAAAGGTCACTTTGCACTCTGGTATAAACACTCTGTAGGACTCAAGGAAGCAAAAGCTCACTGGAATCATATTTAAAGCCCAGCAGACAGACCCCAGACCACAAACCAGCCCCGACGCCACCCAGGGACCTGGGCTCCCCAGCTTGCAAGTCCCATAGCAGAAACACTGCCCCAGACAATGTCCCCCCCAAAGCCACTAGTGCCCTGGGATGTCACGGTGGTAGCCAAGGCCAGGGTTTGGCAGAGCCACCACCACCGGAAAGATTAAGGTAGCGCTGGCTTCATCCTCCATCCCCACCCAAGCAAGGCAGAGCTCAGGGTGAGGGCAGCGGCTGATCAGGGCGCAGTGGCTCCATGCCCACGGGTGGGAGATGCTGGGGGAGCAGGGCTCGGCACGGCAGCAGGCAGGGGCCGAAAGCCCCTGGCCCGTGCGAGCCATCTGCAGGACCAATGGCTTCCTGCCGGCCCCTGCACTCACGCTCCTTCCCATTACAGCGCTGACAGTTACAGCACTGGTGTTTATTTTCACTCGTCGTGTTGCAACTGGCCCCGGCTCCTCTGCCAAGAGCCGCTGGGTTGAACGTGTTGCTGTTGCTCCGCGCAGCTGCCGGGCCGTGCTCAGCCACGGGGTCCAGCAGCATGATCATGACGGCGGCACAATCCAGCTAGTGTCTTAATCCTGGGCTTCCTGTGGGAGGAACAGCCCCGTCCTCCCCGCGGCGCGCTTCCGCTCCTTGTTTGCCTTAGTCCATCCCAAATAGCCCACAAAAATCTCAAGCCGTGCAAGCGACGCATCGTCGGTACTGTGACCATCGCAGAGCCATTCCCACCTCCCTCCTAACCACGCCGAATCTCACCCGAGTGTCCAGCTCACGCTGCAACATCCCGGCACTCATTTACCTCCTGATCTTGATTCCTAAACTGACTCTTGCTTGAGTAATTAACATCTCAAGCCCAGTCTATGTAGAGTTGCATCCACTTCCTTAAAGGAACTATTTTTAAGTGGAGAAATATCCATCAGAAAAGCCGCTGAAATCCAGCTTCCACCAGGAAAGCCTCAATTTGCAGGCACAAGTTAAACTGATGCAGCATCTTCAAGCCTGCATTAGAGTGAAGTGAGCAAGCTACTTGCAGGGGACTCGTACAAGGGCAACCCCCAAGCAACAGGACGGTCTGCGACCCATGTCCAAGCCCATGCCACAGCACAGGGCTTGCTGGGGGAGGGCAGCAGTGACCCAGGACTCCCTAGGCTCATTTTCCCTCCCGCAGCAGACCCTTATGCCCAGCACTTTGAACTTGAGTCGCAGCCAGCTCCTTGGATTCGCTGCAAAGCTGTCAGCACCGAGCAACGTCAGAGTTCCCTCCGAGATCAAGCAAGCAGCCGAGGGAGAGGACAAAACCTGCAAGTGGGAGGTTGAACGCAAACACATCGCAAAGCCAGGACAGAAGTCACCCCCCAGAGCCAGCGCTGCACTGGAGCCTGGGTCTCCCGCGGGTGAGGGGGCTCTGCTTTTCCCCTCCATGCTGGGAATTCAGACTGCAGGACAGATGGCTTTGTTTCAAGGAGAGGTACGTTAGAGGCAACTAGCAAGCAAGACTGCCCCGCTCTCCTCCACAGCAGGAGCAGGCAGAGGGGTGCTTAGACAAGGGCAGAGCGCTCCCTTCCCGTGCCTCTGCAAGAGCACTAAGGGACCATTGAAGGGCTGTGTTATCCTTGGCCTCCCCTCACACATCCCGCGCGGTGGGACATGGCACACAGGCAGGAAAACCTATTCATGGGAGATGGAGGGTAATGAGCTCGATCATTTTGAAGGCTATATATAAATGAATGTACAAACATCAGGAAAATGCTTTTGCCTAGAACAGCAGTTAGTGGGGGAAGCTTGTGGCAGGAGAAACTAGTCTACAGTGGAAAATACATCCAGCAGCAGCTTAATGAGCTTCTTACTAGCTCTCCTTTATGGGAGCAACAGCCCCGTCCTCCCCGCGGCGCGCTTCCGCTCCTTGTTTGCCTTAGTCCATCCCAAATAGCCCACAAAAATCTCAAGCCGTGCAAGCGACGCATCGTCGGTACTGTGACCATCGCAGAGCCATTCCCACCTCCCTCCTAACCACGCCGAATCTCACCCGAGTGTCCAGCTCACGCTGCAACATCCCGGCACTCATTTACCTCCTGATCTTGATTCCTAAACTGACTCTTGCTTGAGTAATTAACATCTCAAGCCCAGTCTATGTAGAGTTGCATCCACTTCCTTAAAGGAACTATTTTTAAGTGGAGAAATATCCATCAGAAAAGCCGCTGAAATCCAGCTTCCACCAGGAAAGCCTCAATTTGCAGGCACAAGTTAAACTGATGCAGCATCTTCAAGCCTGCATTAGAGTGAAGTGAGCAAGCTACTTGCAGGGGACTCGTACAAGGGCAACCCCCAAGCAACAGGACGGTCTGCGACCCATGTCCAAGCCCATGCCACAGCACAGGGCTTGCTGGGGGAGGGCAGCAGTGACCCAGGACTCCCTAGGCTCATTTTCCCTCCCGCAGCAGACCCTTATGCCCAGCACTTTGAACTTGAGTCGCAGCCAGCTCCTTGGATTCGCTGCAAAGCTGTCAGCACCGAGCAACGTCAGAGTTCCCTCCGAGATCAAGCAAGCAGCCGAGGGAGAGGACAAAACCTGCAAGTGGGAGGTTGAACGCAAACACATCGCAAAGCCAGGACAGAAGTCACCCCCCAGAGCCAGCGCTGCACTGGAGCCTGGGTCTCCCGCGGGTGAGGGGGCTCTGCTTTTCCCCTCCATGCTGGGAATTCAGACTGCAGGACAGATGGCTTTGTTTCAAGGAGAGGTACGTTAGAGGCAACTAGCAAGCAAGACTGCCCCGCTCTCCTCCACAGCAGGAGCAGGCAGAGGGGTGCTTAGACAAGGGCAGAGCGCTCCCTTCCCGTGCCTCTGCAAGAGCACTAAGGGACCATTGAAGGGCTGTGTTATCCTTGGCCTCCCCTCACACATCCCGCGCGGTGGGACATGGCACACAGGCAGGAAAACCTATTCATGGGAGATGGAGGGTAATGAGCTCGATCATTTTGAAGGCTATATATAAATGAATGTACAAACATCAGGAAAATGCTTTTGCCTAGAACAGCAGTTAGTGGGGGAAGCTTGTGGCAGGAGAAACTAGTCTACAGTGGAAAATACATCCAGCAGCAGCTTAATGAGCTTCTTACCAGCTCTCCTTTATCTCTGGCATCCAGCACAGGCCGCTTGCTTTAAACTCAGTGCAGATGGAGCCCTCTGCTTTGCCCCAGATGCCTCACGGCACGTTGCCGTTGGAATAACGTGGGCACATTCCTTCAGCTGCATCCCTGGCATGCTGCCCTCCATCCGCCGGGTCTACTCAGGGCTGTGTACTCCCAGGGCGGCAGCGAGTTTGTGATACGCAGCTTGCTCCCCGAAACCCACCAAAGCAACCTCAAAACTCTGCTTGGAGTCGGTCTGGCTAGAGACGGGTGTCCAGCCCTGAGAAGGGGGAAAGCAGAGGGCGAGATGCGCACAGACAGCAATGCCAGGCTCCAGCTAAGGCTCCCCATGTGCACGCAAGCATTACGGGAAGGATAAGGATTCGGATCCCACCCTTTGAGAGTGGCTGGAGAGCCAGAGAGAGAAAAGCTTTTACCAGAAGGCTCTGAACGTATTGTTTTAATATCTCCTTGCAGGCCAAGAGTACAGGGGCCTGGGCAGAGGGAAGCTGTGAGAGTTGTTTGCACACCTGCCTTTCCCTTAGTCATTGCCCTGTTTTCTAAACAACAGAGATAGAGGGAGAGGAGGGGGAAAAAGGGATTGATTTCACACACAGAAGGCTGCACCCCCTGCCTTTGGCAGATGAAAGGCCAAGGCAGCCGCTGCCTGGATGAAAGGCAGGGCACGGGCAGTGCCTGCGCACCCCGGCGCGGAGCGAGCCCGCTTGGCAGGGCCCCTGGGGAGATGCGGACCCCCAGCCCTGCCCTCCGGGCCGGGGGCAGCGGCGTGGCAGCATGCAGAGACTATGGAGATTTGCTGAGGTTTCACACATGCTCCGTTCCCCTGCGAGCCCCGCGGTTCAGAGTGGGGTATCCCGGGAAGCTGGAGCTCTCCAGAGATTTGTCCAAACTCTGTCCCTCTGAGCACGAGGAGGGACCTGCCCTGCCAGCACAGCCATGGGCAGGGTTGTTGCAGCCCTGCACCTTTGTGGGACAGCACCGGGGATGGCTGCCTGGATGGCAGAGGATGGCCAAAGGCCCCATCTCAACCTCTCCATCTGTTCGGTGCCTCCACATCCAGCTGCCGAGCGGACAGAGCCAGAGGAGGGATAACTTGGTCTCCTGCCCTTGGCTAAAAAAAAACACCCGCCGGACCACAGCACGCAAGCTTCGAGCTGCAGGGAGAAGGGCAGAGATTCCTGCCCGGTGTAGCCACCTCCTTTTTCCGTTCGGCAGCTGTCACAGGGCAGCGATGGAAAGAGAGCACAGAAACAAGGACGGGGACCGTGAATTCCTTCCTAAGCTTCTCCGCAGAATCCGGCAAAGCTGTTTCCCTTCCTCTTCCCGCAGGATGGGAAACGAGCAAGAGGGCAAGCGTCTCGTGACTTGCTCTGCCCTCGCTTCAATCCCCGTTCCAAGGAGCTTCGGTAAACCCTGGCTGAGACAGCAGCCTCCCTCCTGGGAGCCTGCAGCTGACGGAGGGTGGGTTTGCTGGCTCCGGGCTGGGGCAGATGCCTGCTGGCTGCCCCGCTCCCACGCTGCAAACAGCGTGGGCAACAGGTTTATCTTTACTAGAAGCAGGAGCTGGCATCTATGCCAAGCTAAACCATACACTGGGAATGGGGGGGGAAGAG